GTCCCTTGAGACTCTCCAGGAATCCCACAACACCCTCCAGGAATCCCACCAAACTCTCCACAAATTGGCGGAGACAGTCAAACAAAAGATTGACCAAGTCGAGAAAAACATGGTCAGTTGAGAGCAAGAAATCCAAGTTAAAGTGGCCGGCCAGTATGAGTCCCTGAAGAAAGAGTTTGATGAGATGAAGACCCGGAACAATCTTGCTTAAAAAATCTTATTTCGTATCTGCTGCTTCTTCATACCAAATCAAGTGAGCATCCAATCAGAACTTCTCCTTGTTTACATCCTCTACCAATGCGGGGTAGCTTTCAAACAACAAAACAATACTACAATTCCATATATTTTTCTTGTCAGGTTGGGAGGGTGACGGGTGTGTAGGAGTGTTGGTGGACGATCTCTTGTGTGTTCATATATCAACGTCTCCATCTAGATACATCCGTCATGATCGTCATCGTTTGAAAAACAAAACAAGTCTTTGATGAGTTTTGTTGACCGCAAAATAGATTCTTGAGAAATCCAATGATGAAACAGAAAAAAAAAAAAACATACAGCCAAGTAAAGACGAAGATCCAAAAAACGACAATTAAAAACAAGAACCCTAACAGTTGATCGGAATGAGACACAGACTCAATAACAAAAGGCGAGACGGAAAAGAAGATGGATAATCTTGGGGAAGGGGGGGGGGGGGGGGGTGAGACTGACAGTACCACCATCTTCCATACTGGTTCTTGGGCATCCGGGCCATCTTCTTGAACGTCCCTGATAATACTCCCGTGGCTTCTGAAAACTTGTCATTCTTTTTGTTTTGTAGAAGAAAAATAACGATCAGGTTGGTTTGAAATTCGCAGCTCTTTCTACCGGGATGGATGAGAGATAGAGAGAGATTGTTGGACTTACTAGGGTGGCAATCAGATTACTAGATTCTTTCACTTCTGTACCGATATTAACAGTGATCTTTTTCGAAAAAAAAAGAGATCAGATTCCACGAAACCAAGAAATCAGTACATATCGACATTTCTCAGGATGAATTTTAAGAGTGGGGAGGAAAGAGAAAGGATGTGTTACTTCTTTAAGTAGTCTAACTTTCGCACTAAGACCTTCGATAGCCTCGTCATTCTGAGATTCGAGTTCTTCGGCTGTTCGATGATTCGAGAAGGAGGAAGAGGAAGAGGAAGAGAATGGGAGTTGCTGGTCATAGGAGCCATACGAGCGGCCATAGTTCGGGATCGTCGTCGCTCCTGGATTCGACGAGGGACTGCTATTGTAGGATGGGGTCCTCGACAGTAAGGCTGCTCTGTTCGGATCTCGGTGCGTCAATCTGTTGTTTTGTGATCGTTGAGTTGTTGGTGGTTAGCTAACTTGGAAATTTCGATTAGAAGAAGAGGAGGAAAAGACTGCTTACTTGCTCATCGTGAGATTTTCGTTTTGCTTTGTCCACACTTTAAAGTGACTGGTAGGTACATATGTACGAGGTGGTAACCCGAGGAGTCCTTCTGGGTCGATGATGTCGATGATGCTCGAGCCGCGGATAAAGCCTGTATCCGAGGGATTCGGGCCCTCTTCTCGGATCGGATTGGCCACCACTCAATTCCCCTCAAACCGCTTCATGGACTGTCAAGACCACCGGGATGATCAACTAGCAACAACCGTATAAAAAAAGTTGAATGGAGTCAGATTGGTGGGGGATGGAGGCATACTTGTTTCATATCTCGTCCACTCTTGTCTCCTTCCTCAACCCATTTTGTTTGAGGCAGAAGATCTAGAAAAGAAGGACAAAATTATGTACTGCGAAAAACGATGAAAGTCGATTTTTTAGTTCTGGACTCATATGTGAAGAGGCAGGGATATTATAGACAACTTGTGTTTCTCATACTAGATTGATCCAACAACTCCCATGGTTTGTGATCCGAGGAAAATAAGTACAGATTGGTCTTGCCATCTGAGGATGGTGCAGATTGGTCTTACCCACATGTGGCTAGCTTGGGGTTTGATGCACTACCTTCAAGGGGTTGCTTAACCAGCCTCTTGTTTTACAAGGTATCTCTTTGTATGAAATATTTTGTTAATTGCTTGAGGCTTGTTACAAGCCAAGCACAAGAAAGTACCAAAGCTTATATAGATCCAAGCACTTGGTATGGTGGGATAAATGAATCCCGGCACTTTTTTTTGCGTGGAATTTCCCTCTGTTTTTTGATCCCACATGTTTTGTTCCTTTTTTCATTCATTTCACTTGAGAAAATTCAAATCCTATTATACACCATTCACCCTTACAACACACCCTTACAACACACCCTTACAACACACCCTTTACAACACACCCTTACAACACACCCTTACAACGCACCCTTACAACACACCCTTACAAACACACCCTTACAAATTTCTACCTGTCAAATTCCCTTGACATTTTCCTTGTCAGCCATCCTGGCCCAATTTATGATATCCTCCCTTCTGCATACTGGAAATCTCAACCAACCAATAGCACCCCAATGTCTCCACTTGATTCATTTGGTACTTTCTGCTAGCACAAGGTATAACTCACAATGTCTACATATATGTTTCTAATTAGTGTTCATCCAAACTTTCATTGGAATTTTTTTGGCTGCATATGTTTACTTTCTCCTTTTCTCCCTCCCAGAGTCCCTCTGTCTATTGCATTTCACCATTTTAATTCACATGTGGCATTTGTACACTCAAGACACATGAACAACCAAAATGCTAGTTAAAAATGATGCAATGAAATTGGCTCCAATACAAATCATAAAATACAGCAGATTGTAGTTTAAGACAAAGAACCAAAAAACATGACTTTGTTTGTACATCCGTTCTGAGTTGGTACATTTTTTTTGAAAGATGAGATCTTGGCTGCTGTTGGTTAATAATTTTGATGCTAATCTGGCCAACTTTCCTTGGAAAAAGAAAAAATTCAATACAACACATGGATTTTCTGTCTTCTTGAATTTGTGGCAAAATGTCCAAGAGTTGAAACAAAACACAACTGGGTCACAGCTGACAGCACAAAATGAGTGCAATGTCCAACGTCCAATGATTTGAAGCTCAGCATTGAAGGAAGACCAAGCCCAGCAAGGTGACCAATTCGGGCTGTTGAGCAGGAAGAGGAATCAGGACATTTTTTTTTGTTGTTTCTTTTGAATCAAGCACATACCAATGGAGCACCATCAATGCATGAAAGGGTAAAAGTCTTGGTGCCCTTGACAGGATCCAGCCATTTATCGTAGCGAAGTTGAGCTGATGCAGGATCAACCAAGAGTGATTTGTCATGTTTTTTGTGCAGTTTCAGTGGTGATGTTAGGAAAGAGAAAGGAGATAGAGACGTATCACTCACATCTGAGCTGGCCTACAAATTTGGAAGGCTGACCTGCGGCCACCTTATAAATTTTACCTCCTTTGTTTGTACGGTGTAGTATGCCAATTGCGTTTCAAGTATCAAATTGCATAAAGTCACAGTTCAATATGTAGAAGGGCATATATTCTTAGGCGTATGATCGCATAATCACATTCTACGGGTCATTTAACCCATAGTCACTCATGGGAACCACTAGGCTAGCTCCACTGAGTCAAAAGTTATTTGGGATTTAAATTTTATTTGCATAAAAAATGCTTAATGCATAATGTAAACCACAAGTTGGCCTTGGTTTGGTTACATATTCAATATTCATTGCATAGTGTAACCACAAGTTGGCCACATTGTTTGTAGGTAGACTGAGAATTTTGTATAGTAGCAAAACCACAATTTGGCCAGAGTTTTAGATGCATATTCATATAGGTTCGGTCTAGAACCACTAGTTGGCCATTTATAGATTATAGGTTAGGGATAGAACCATAAGTCAGCCGGGTTGTAAAATAGACTATTTAAGGAGGGCTGCTCCCCCCTTCATTCCAACTTTTCATCATCTCATCACAACATCTCATCATCTCATCTGATCAGCAACCAGACAGAACAGAGCAATCAATCCATACATTAAACAGTGTGATCTTAATCAAGTGCCCCATTGAGATCATTCAGACATTGAGAAGCATAGGAAAAAGAAAGTAGCAACCAGTACAACTTGTGATCTTAAACAAGAGACAGTGATCTTAAACCATTGTGCTCTTGACCAAGATTCAAGGAGGAAGGGAAAGACACTTTCAATAGTCACATTTTTCCTCAATATCATCTCATAAATTCACATTCATAATCAGTACATAAGTCAATCATTTTTCAAAATACATAAACATATAAACAAAAACACCTCTTACTCAACATTTCCACTCAAATAGTCTGCTGAATCCACGTTGATCTAGGTTTGATAAGAGACTGCTACACATAGTTTTCTCTATCATCAGTTTTGCCACAACAATAAATAAATTGTTGTGTTAACTCTAGTGTAGTACAATAGAGGGGAAGGTCTTTCAAACCAGCCGTAACAGTTGTAGTAGATCATTACATACGTGATATATCTCATCTGCTATTTCCCCCTTGCAGGACTGCCACCATCCCCAAAGGAGTTCTCACAACAGTTCTTTTCAAACTTGAAGTATATCCAAGCATCAGCGGCATCGGAATAGTAGTTGAAGCGCCAGAGATCTTTGCCAAATGCATGTACATGAATTATCATACTTATATTGTCGCTTCAGTAAGTTGTCTTTAGCAGCGGGAGCTTGAAACTGGCTGTATTCTGTCTTTGAATCACAATAGTCATTGGTCTGTAGAGTGTTGTAGGAGAGATGTGAATTACGACTGGTTAGACAGGTTTTTTTTTTTAAGTGCTGATTGATTTGACATTTTGCACTATAGTAATACTTGTGTGGTGTAAGCCCTGTTGTGACCTAGGTCACATGGTGCGACTCGGCTGCGGCTCAGCCAGCCGGAGGAGACTACATCCGTCTCATCCAGGCCTCACCTAGAGGAATCCATACCAATTATACCCTCCGAGTCACTACAAGCCCGCAATGAGGCTGTATTTACAACTGTGTATGAGAACCTTTTGCACTCTTTTGCAGTTACAGACAAGGTTTATAACTTTACAACATATCAGATCTGTTGAAAGACGAGTGTAACATCCAAGGGGTTGGGGGAGGGGGGGGGGCCGCCAGGATTTGAACCTGGAACCTGCATGCTAAAATCAGCCTGCAGGGCTACCGGGTAACAATGGTCTTCCCCCATTAGACCATCTCGGCCCCTAGACAGGGGTTGGTCATTCATCATTTGAGTGGTTACAGGACTGACCGAGAACATAGAGAATAGCTGTTTGAGAGATGAGTCCGTGATAATGACCGTGGTCTTCCCTCGAGGTGGGACTCTTTTAGATTTGCTGAAAGTGTAAGCAAGTTTTCCATTCGCACCGAAGACCTCCAAATAGGGTTTCGAAAGGTCCCCTCGTTCTTTAATTATATAATGGTTGGGAATGTTTTGTGCATGCATGGCAGGAGAAAAGGACATCAATAGGGTGATGAACGCGACTGCGCTTAGGAATAGCATCGTTGGGTATTGGGAATGTAGAGTGATAGCAAAAGAAACACCTCTGTCACAATCCGTTGGTATGGGGCCCGATGATGGAAAGCTATTTGAGCAGGCTAGACAGAAGTGCTGGGATTAGGATGGTTCAAAAGAAAGGCCAAACTGAATCAACAATGTTGCTGGGAAGTGATCAGGTGACAGAAAGGAACAAGGATGTAACCGGTGTTGTATTGACTAAGTAAATAGAGAGAGAGCCCAAGGTGTTTATACTCGAGACAACATGAGAGCACGCAAAAGGAGCAGAAAGGAGGACAAGCGGAGAAGCCGAATCAATGACAACAGCCACCATCGGTTGGGCCAACGATAGGAGGCCAAACCGGCTCTTCAAGCACGCTCAAACGTTTCCTTGCAAGTTCTATAGACCCTCTTCCCTGTCGAGGGCAGTAACGCAAATCACACCGGAGCCAGGATGTAAAGCTTTTTTAGCTTGTACTTTGAGCATATGTATCCTCGTAGTCAAACTTGGTGGAACCTCAGCTGGTGAGAGCCTCGGCCCAGTCTCTGTCTTGCTGAAACTTGAGGCACCATTTGCGTTAGGCACTTAGCGCCATTCGTCGGCCAGTGACAAAACTGGTGCTGGATTCGGTTGCGGGGTTCCCTGACAAGCCTCTAGAGCTGCCCGCTCGCTACTATCGAAATAGTAAAAAAAAACCAGTTCAACGGCATTAAGTCAACAGGACCCTTTTCTCCTGTAGAACATTTCGGTATCTGGAGAGTAAGGGAAAATGGGACGAGGACGAGTCAATCGGAATCGAAATCCAAATCCGAGCTGCTATTTTAGGGGGGTATAGAAATTTACAAGTCAATCTTTACAAGGCTTAAGCCTCGGAATTGTGATGGCTTGTCCTTTTCATCCAGGACCCCTTCAATGAGCAATTTTACAAGGCATTAATTCCCCCCCTCACCTTGTAACCCGAAGCCTTGTAAAATAAGAGGTGCAAATGAGTCCCAAAACCCTCCGCATTTTGTGTTTTACCAGGTATTAATTACAAGGCTTATGCCTTGCCATGAAAACACTTTGCAAAATCACACATTTAGCTCAAATGCCCCAAAAGCACGAGGCCCTGACCTTGCGAGGTCAACTCATGTAAAAAAATGGTGTGTAAAAATTTCATTGCAAAGCAACCAGGGCAAATTTCACAAGCATTTGCCCAAAGTTAAACACCAGCTTATTTCCTCGCCCTCCTTGTCACCCGGTTACTCGTTTGAGCACCATCCTTGCGGGGCCTTCCAGCAGGCCTCACAGCCTCGCTTTCTTGCTTATTAGCCTCCTGTGGGGGTAGTGACGCCCCTGAGGATCCTGCGCTCATCTTTATCTTTATCTTGAGCTTCTTAGCCGCCTTTGCGGAGCCTTCCTGGGAAATCTTCATGTTTTGTTGATTCGTTGCGTCGAGTGTATTGTCAACTTCCTGCTCACCTATGAAGCAAGCTTCCAGTCAAAAAAACAAATGAGGAGATCGCCTGATTGCTCGATTGATTATAAGCATGTGCCAGTTGACTCACCTGGCACCTCAATTTCAGATCTCGCGGGTGACTTCTTGAGTGCATCGGTGGGTGCGTCTTCGTTGGTGTTGAATGAATTCAGCAATGTCGAGAGACTGGCAAAAGGCGTGTGACCAGTCGCGTGTGGATAATCGCTTTTGATTTTGGCCATCATCTCATTGACATGATTCTGCTCGTTCCCCGTCCAACCGCGAGAGTACATGAGCCAGCTTGAGTGAGGAGCTGCTCCTCCAAGCTTACTGGGGTCCGGAGTGACCAAGCGAGCATAACCATCGTTCTGCTGATCGTTATGAAGCCAAACACCGACTGTCCCACCAAGGCCCTTGAGGACCTTCTCCAATAATGACTCCCGTTCCAGAAACCCCGCGCAAAAAGTGTATATCTCACGCCCGATAGGAAGATCGTCGAAGGCCAGTTCATAGTCGCCATGAAATCTTGTTGTTCGATTTCATCCGAGATTGTTGCAACATCAAGGAAGAAATAGAGATGCGGAGGGGCCTCACTTTTGGGGAATCCCAGGGTTGAGTGCTCCTTGTATCGATAATCTTCATAGGTAGTGTCCGTCGATTGACACATAGCAACCTCGGACGCCATCCGCACAAACACTTGAGGGGCTTTGTCTTGAGCAGCCACACAAAACTTGCATTGCAGACCGCACACCCCATGCAAGCCGACAGAATTCCACTGTCTCAAGAGCTCTGTGACATTTGCATGATCGACATTGTTGTCATAAAAAGTCTGCCTGCGGATGTTGATGATGTTTGAGAGTCGGGTCAGATGCTGGGTTGCCGCCGGATGAACGTTACAAGTGAGGATTCGTTTTTCTTCGACTTCGAACAGGCCTTTAAGGCCTCGGTTAGGATTGGCTTTTGGATCCAAGGCAAGCTCAATGAACAAGTCTGCAGATGCAAACTCGCCTTCAACAAAGCTCTTGGGCGACCGGTTTTGAGCTTGAGTCAAAATTGATGATTGGGCCTTTGAGAGGACTCCCCGAATGCTACCAATCTTGGTTAATTCATACGTTGATCGAGCAGAGAAGTGTTTGACGAGGGACGTGAATAATGATGTCCCGGTCCCACTTGAACCGCGATGCCACAGGGGAAGTACTGTACAGAGCATACAACGTCTCTAGAGACGCAGCCAACCAGCACCGATTAGCTAGATGTGATTTGTCCGAAGCTCTATAGGAGGCGTAGGTGGAGAAAGGATTCCGGTCGATATTTACTGATCCCGAAGGCCTTCCGAGTTTCTTCTTCGCCAGCTCTGGGAGGAGTGCATCAGTAGTATCCGGGGCCCTTCCGTCATTCACAAAATTATGTCGGACTTTCTGATCTCCGACTGGCTTGGCTGGATTGGGGGCTCTCTTCCTTTTCTTTTCCCATCCTAACGACTGAGCTATGTCCGTGTGTCCCTTTCGCGCAGCACCATATTCGATTGATACGCCTCGCATGACGGCGTCGAAATCTTCCTCTAGTACCTTGATGAATGAATACAGTTGAATCATTCCCAACATCAGGCAAGTTTTGCCTTCACTGAACCACAAAAACAATCAGTATGTGAAATGCAAATGACAACGGACGAGACTTACGATAGCATGTAGTATAAACGATGAAGGCTTTCCTGGGCGTTAGTTGTCTTGGTAGGTCGCTCCTGACCTTCAGGAGTATCTTCAAGCTTGGGACGTCGCGATGGGAAGAGCATGGACTCTACATCGGCCATTGTCCACCAATCCAGCCAACGTTTGGCCTTGGGGAAACGCCTGCGTAATGAGTCAATCTTATCCTCATGGCTGGTGTCCCCTTCAACCGGTTCTTTGATGAGATCCATGCACATCTTTTGAAATGTGCTCTACATGTCAAACAGATGATTTGATCCAATCAGCTACTGGTGCTTGGGCTCACCATTTGAAGAGAGAGAAAGACGACATACCTCTTCATCGGCCATAACAACATGGCGGTTTCTCTTGACCCGAGTCACTTGAGCGCGATAGTGTTCATGACAACCCTGGAGTTTGTTGAGCACAACCTTCTTGTCGCAAATCCCAAACACTTCCCAATATGCGGCCACAAACCCCTCACGCTGTGCCGCTGAGAAATCAACAATGTTGCAAACCAGTATATTTCGTTCGGTATCGGTGAACTCCGGCACCAAGAACTGCCGAAATAAGACCGCGAAGTGAACCTGGTAATACTTTTCGGCCAGCCCTCGGATCCAAGTGAGCTGGATTGGAATCCATCTCGCCAGTTCTTCACAGTACATCGATGTTGACAACAAGTAGCCGTTTCGAAAGAACCGATAAGTTACATCGGAAACCAGGCCAGTGCCATAAACCTTGTGATCAATGTCGCGCGCCAAGAGTCGTTTTTTCATCCATTCAGATTGGAAGGTAAAATGTTCTTCCCCTTCCAGGTAAGACGATGAGATGATGAGCAATCCACGCCTGAAACCAAAGACTCTGATGTCAGTGCCACCCTTGAAAAGCATACATTTATGAGATTGGCACTTCACTTGACCCATTTGAACAAGTCGGTGATGAAATGATCACCAACACTCCCTCCAAGATTTTCCGGCGTAATGTTCAACTCTTTGAGCATTAGTTTGCGGTAATATCGCAAACGGTCTGCATTGCCAAGGGACGGGTGGATGTCCAAGACACTGTCGTAAGTGTCTTGGGATGGATTCGGCTTCCTGATCTACATTCATGAAATCAAGAAATATATCAGTATGTACATGATTTTGTCTAGAGAAAAGCACACCCACCCTGAGCGAAAAGGCCCCTGCCTTCGGATTCTTGGCAATCTCTGCCTTGAGAGTCTCTCGCGACAGCTGATCTGGCTTCTTAGCCTCCGGCCATACGTGATTATGTACACCACAGTGACGCAGGACCGCCCATGAAGTAGCAACATGCTCATCCACACATATCAATGTATTCTTGCATTCGATGTGCTGCACATTTCCAGGACAGGTACCATGCGCCCCCGGACAATTAGAGTTTCTATCAAATAATCATTGTGCCCGACCAAATGTTAGCAGATGTTGGCAAATCCTAAAAAGAAAAAAAGAAATTGCACACTTCTCTAACCACTCGCTCATGTCAACCCGGCCCGTAGGGGGTGCCCCTGCCCACCGGCAGTCTGGTAAGTCGCAGGAAAGCACCCCCAGGCAATATATTCGCTTAAGCTTCCAGGCCCCTTTGGAGCGATACTCACTACCCGTTCGCTTTGAGAAACCAACATTTCCAAAGTTTGTGATGGATTCACCCGGAAGTCTGACAAATATAGTGTTACCGTTGGGAAGTAATGGGTACCCCTGCGGATCAAGGGTACAACCGTGGTCGATGAAGGTGGCTTCATTCATAGTCGGCAAGAAAAATGTCTTTGCATTTTGCTTGGTGGGGGTATCGGATTCAGATTCAAGATCTTCTTTGGTAACCTTAGGCTTGCCTCGTGAGAGGCGGATCGGGATATGTTTGGCTTCTACTAAGCTGGTGTCGTAAACATCTGACTCACCTTCGGACTGCCAGTCAGGATCTTCTCCAAAGCGGGGGGAATTCATTCTGGTTGCTTGTATGGGCTTCACAAAAGAAAGATGAGTCAATGATGTGTCGAATATATGGAGGGAGGGGGGGTGAAAAATCTCGATGGCATGGAATCACCGCCTGAAACACAAGGAAAATTCAGACCCACAAGCTGAACCAGGATTTTGACCAGCCTCCTCCAATACAGGGCCTTGGCTTGTACTGCCGTTGCCTTGTATTTTTGACCTCTTACAGGCTGATCTGTACTTTTCCCCGGAAGCCTGGTATGCGGTGCAAACACTACCCTGCAAATTTGATGTTTCATATCGCTTATTACCGGGTTTCAAAGTCATTATTCACAAGGCTCTCGTTTACGAGGCCACCCTTGGGCCCGAAGCCTTGTAAAATTCACATTCTACTTAATCTCCTTCAGTTTTACGCGGCTCCGACGTTACGAGGCTTATGCTGCGCAAAAAATTCCTTGTAATTCTCTCCCGCCCCCTATTTTAGTGTCCTCGCTGCTCTCCGTCTCCTTGACATCATCGGAATTGCCACCACCGATCTGCTTTTGTGGTGCCGCGTATGGCGGTCTTCTGACCGTCAAGACCTCCTTGTTGGACTCGGGGATGTCATCCTAGGCATTGGAATCTTTGGCAGCTTCCTCGCCCTCGACTGGCAGCTGAATACGCGCCTTAACTTGAGGATAATATAAAACGGGGTAAGTGAATTTTACAAACTATTTTTTACAAGACATATATGTCTTGTAAACCGGATAGTTTGTAAAATTACATTTTTATGGGGGTAATGTATAATTTTACAACCCATCTGTGATTTTCAAAGGTTGTAAAAAATGGTTTGTAAAATATGTTTGTTAAAATTGTATCACAACATTGGATTATGTAATTTTACAAACTATATCATGCAAGTCTTGCATGACAAGGTTGTAAAGTTGTATAACAAACCTTAAATTTAGAATTTTACATGACATTTGCTTGCAAACCATAATGTCTTGTGAAACTAAGTATGCAAAAAACCTTATTAATACCCTGTAATAGAATTTTACAACACATAATTTACAATCTACCCACCAAACAAGGTTAAACTCTCACCATGCAAGATGATTTAAATTGAATCTCCCACAGTCGCCAAGATCAAGCTTCCAACGTGAAACCTTGTTTTCTGAAATTTTTGAGAAAAGGTAAACTATTAGCATTATCTGTCACAGATTTTCAAAGCTGTGAAATCCATGTGACATGTCCCAAATCTCCCACACTGTGAAACCTTGTTTTCTCAAACTTTTGGGAGGGTATACTATTAACATAATATGTCACGGATTTTTAAATCTGTGAAACCCTTGTGACTTGTCTGACCTTTTTGCAAACCTGTGACATTTTTGATTTTCTGGAAGTTTCAGCCTATTTTATGGACCCCCCTCCAGCTCAGGTCAAGGGCCACCCTGGTCAATGCTCAACAGATTAATTGGCTTCCAAGTTCTATCACCAGTGTCAAAGAAAACATGAGCTGGCTCCTTTGTTTGCGCAATTGAACACCTTGGGAGTAAGAGTATGTTGAGAAGGAGATTCAGAAGATAGTTGAAGAAATTCCAGGTACATCTGGCAACATCCCTTTCAAGGAGATGAAGTCAATCTTGACCAAATAAAATAGTTTGAATTTGATTCCCCACAAGGCCAAAGACAAAGATAAATCAACTCCTCCAACTACAACTAAACTCCAGGCCAGAGAAAAATCACCCACAACATCTATGAAATTGAAATGATTGTGTTCTATGTTTTTTTCTGCAGGACTGTTGGAACTTCACTTTTCCTTTTATTCTTTTTATGGCTGTGTCTTTTTTTCTGCAGGACTGTTGGAACTTCACTCTTCCTTTTATTCTTTTTACGGCTGTGTCTTTTTTTCTGCAGGACTGTTGGAACTTCACTATTCCTTTTATTCTTTTTACGGCTGTGTCTTTTTTTCTGCAGGACTGTTGGAACTTCACTATTCCTTTTATTCTTTTTACGGCTGTGTCTTTTTTTCTTTTTGATTTGATTTTTATTTTTGTTCAGGCTGTGTCTTTCTCCCTTTTTTTGGATTCCTTTTTGTTTTTGTAGAGGCTGTGTCTTTCTCTTTTTCCCCTTTTGTTTTTGTTGAGGCTGTATTTCTCTTTTTTCTTTTGATTTCCTTTTTTATTTTTTATTTTTTGAGGCTGTGTCTCTCTTTTTTTTGATTTCCTTTGATTTTGGTGTTTATTTTTGTGGAGGCTGTGTCTTTCATTTTTGATTTTTTTGAGGTTGCAAAACAATGTTTGCAAAATTCAATTTTACATACTATCTGTTACAATTTTGCAACACATAAATCACAACTCATTTAAGGGTTGCACACTAATGGTTGCAAATTTCCTTGAAGGAAGGCAAAAAGGTTGCAAAATATGGTTTGTAAAATTCAATTTTACATACCTTGTTGTGCAATTTTGCAAAACATAATTTACAACTCATAGATGGGTTGCAAACTAATGGTTGCAAAATTCCTTGAAATAAGGCAAAAATGTACTTTTGCAAATCATATTGTTTGCAAGACATAAGGGTTGCAACATATGTGCCTTAAAATTCTACTCCATGGGGCATGGGTTGCAATTTTAAGGCACATATTTTGCAACCCATATTTTTTGGTGATGGTTTGTAAAATTATACATTACCCCCATAAAAATGTAATTTTACAAACCATCTGATTTACAAGACATATGTCTTGTAAAATATAGTTTGTAAAATTACAGCGACCCATATAAAACAGCCCATGAAGCGTATGCGTGAGGTGGTCTAAGTCACTACGACCACTCAAATAAATTGATTTTCTCATTGCAAGCAGCTTTCTACAGGCTTAGATAGTCTATCGTCACCCCAGACATCACCTCATACTATGGTTTTGAACACAATAGTTGATGTGAGCTCCCTGGAAAAGGATTTTTTTTTTTGAAACAAAATGGCTATAAACATGTCCAACAAGGAGGAATTGTTTCTGGAGGCTCTAATGGGCTGGTCAACTGGCAACAGGACCTGAAGAACTACACTGAAAGGCGAGCTCAACTAAGCCTCTTGTATCTGATCAAGCAGAAAAGGTCAGCAGCCTCCTGTTGGACGGATATGTCCAAGAACTGCTTGGACAGAGTGTTCAGACCTGCCAGTCCAAAGGTTATTTCAGGAAGTGCTGCCAGTACAATTTGAAATCCCCAATGTCTCAATATTTGTTTTACAATCAGTGTTGCTCTGAACTTTCATTAAATTGTTTGGCTATCAATGTTTACTTTCCTGCATTATCCCCTTGCCTTGTATATTGCATCAATCCATTTGAATTTTGGGGGTTCACAATTGAAATTTTCACAATTTTTAGAGCCCATTTCAAGGCGTTTCTCAACAATTTTTTGAAAAATGAAAAGTTGTTCTGATTGTTCAGAAGCCCTAAAATCTGTGCATCCTTTCAAAATTATAAAATGTTGCTGATAAGGACCTCACAATTGACTGGAAAGACTTGATAAATTTCAATTGTGAGCCCCCCTATCATGTTTGTATTTTTGCACTCACAACACACAAAGTACAAGAGAGCTCATTAAAAATCATGCAATTAAATGGGCTGAATTACATGTAACTTGTAGTGAAAGACAAAAAACCAAAGAATAGACAAAGATAAACTTATTGATACATCCATTTTGATTTGGCACAGTGTTTTTCAAAGGTAAGATCCACAATCTCAGCTCCCATTGGGTCACAAATTTGGTGAAAGTTCCACTGATGTTCCCCAATTTTTTTGGAAAGAGGATATGTTTGATACAATACATAGCTTGTATTGCTTGTTCAAATTACATGAAAAAGAATGTATTTGATACAACACTTGGATTATGTTTCTTGTTAAAATTACAGAAGAATGTCTGGGGGTCAAATGGAAACACAAATAGGTCACAGCTAAAACCAACAAAATGGGTACAATATCCAAACACGCAAGTTCAGCACTGAAGAAAGGCCAAACCCAGCATGGCGACCAATTCGGGCTATTGGGAAGGAATGTGAATCAGGATTATTTTTCTTTCAAATCATTTCAGACTATCAGGGACATACCAGTGGAGCACCATCAATGCATGAAAGGGTATAAGTGCCCTCCCCATTGGCAGAATTCATCCATTTATCTTTGCGCAGTTGATCTGATGGAATTAACCAAGGATGAGTTGCCATGTTTTTTTGCGGCTGCAGTTGTGGTGTGAAGAAAGAGGTAGAGATGTGTGACTCACTTCTGAGCATGCCTACTAGTTGGGAGGACTGACCTGCGGCCACCTTGTAGATTTTCCCTCCTGCGTTTGTTTTGTTTTTGATGAACTTGTAGTACATCCGGGAACCGGCGGCATTGGAATAGAAGTTAAAACGCCAGAGCTTTTTGCCAAAGACAGGCGAGTTATCAAACTTATAGTCTCGCCGCCTTAAGCCGTCTTTGGCATTGGGACCATCGATCTGGGTGTATTGTGTCTTGTATCCGCACTGGTCATCAATCTGTGGAGTGTTGTAGGAGAGAAGTGAATTGAGACTGGTTAGACAGGTGTGGATCATTTGTGGTTTGAGTGGTTACAAGACTGACCGAGACCAAAGAAAAAAACTTGAGGAGAGATGGGTCGGTGATAGTGACCGTGTTCTCGAATGGAGCTGGGGAGTTGATAGTTTTGTCAAAAGTGAAGGCAACCTTCCCGTCCGCGCTGAAGACCTGGAGGTAGGTTTTAGAAGGGTCTTTTGCTTTTTTGATGAAATAATCGTTGGGAAGGTTTTGTGCATGCATGGCAAGAGGAAAGGACACCAATAGGGTGATGAAAGCGAGTGCGCTTGGGAATTGCATCGTTAGGAATAGAAAGTAGAGTGATGGCTGAAGAAGCAACCGCGTCACTGTCCGTGGATGTGGGGCTCGAGGGTTGAAAGCTATTGGCCGAGCAGGCTAGACAGTAGTGCTAGGATTGGGATGACTGAAAGAAAGGCGAAACTGAATCAATAAAGTGCAGATAAGTAAGCAGGTAGCGGAAATGAACAGGTGTGCGATTGACGGGGTTTCCTACTGCTGGTGAAAGCTCGAGGTCTATATACCCGAGACAAGATGATGGCACGCAGAAGGAGCAGAAGGGAGCCAAGCAGAGAGCCTAACGACAAGCCACCATCGGATGATACGAGGCCCGATTGGCTCTCCAATGAAAAGTTTTGAACACTTCCATAATGAGAAAAACTCCTTGCAACGGACCCTCTTCCCTGTTGAAGGCAGTGGTGCAAATCACGACCCCCGGAGGAGGTTTTTGTTACCTTGTATTTTGAGCATTTGCAGGGGCCGAACTTATTCACAAACATGAGTCTTGAGACACCCTTTGTGTTATGCGTTCAGCGCCTCTTATCGGCCAGCGGACAACACTTGTGTTATGTAGGTTTGGTTGGCGGGGTTCCCTGGCAAGCCTCCAGCACTAAAAGAAAAGTTCAACGGTATCAAGTAGACAGAACCCTTGTCTCCTTCAAAAACATATCGATATCTAGAGAAGAAGAGAAAATGGGGCAAAGGCGATTAATCCTCTCCGTCTGACTAGTGCATAGCATCACCGGACTTGCCGCCACCGTTTTGTTTCTTCGGCGCCGCGCCCGGCGGCCATCTGACCATCAATGCGTCCTCGTTCCATTCAAGTATGCCATCCTGGGCATTGGTATCTTTGCCAGCTTCCTTGTCCCTGACTTGCAGCTAAATACTCGCTTGGACAGTGCGCCTGAGAACAAAAAAAAATGATCTTACCTGCTCACACAAAGCACATGTGAACTGACTCAATCGAGTTTTCAGAAAATGTATCAACAATGGACATGTCATTTTTTCCGCCAGAAAACCTGAGCCAGCCCATCCAAACCAGAAAGAGTTTATACAGAAGCACTTTGCTCAGTGATGCTATCCATAAAACGGACAAAGGTAATTTTTTTCAAGTCTCTTTTCAACTCACCAGATAATAAATGCTGATGCTGATGTTAAAATTTTCAGAAAATTGCACATTCATCAGAAACATCAGAAACCCCCTGTTGGGATTCCACTCGCCCTCAATCTCTCTTTTTCCACATGTCACTTATTTGTCACTAGGCTACTTTGTTTTCTTTATTCATGATGTTTGGTTGACAGACCCACCAATTGAACAACATGTATCTATTCTAGATCATAGCTGAATAATGGAATATCAGTTCAGCTTATTATTGATCCTGAGGTGACACATTAGCCTCTCCTCAGTCTCATATTGAGTGCACTCTAGCCCAATCAGTCAAGAAATATATGTAGGGGCTTGGAAAAACAACTCCTAAATTTTAGTCAACGACTGCCGTTTTGGTCCAGGGGTCGTTGGCAGGAGTTGTTTGTCTAATTTCCAAGAAAAAAAAGGGAGTTGTTGCCCTAATTTCACCAAAGATTTTTAATTTTTTTTGTTAAAAAATACAGGAGTCATCCAACCAAAAACCAGGAGTCGTCACCCTAATTCAGGCAAGAATGTTTATTTTTTTTTGTTATTAAAAACAATGGGAGTTGTCTGACTAAAAAGCCCCCTACATGTTTTATTATGGGAGTCATCACCATATAGTGACCCTAGAGACATAAAACAAATTGAGCCACTGAGACCCTAGTGACCCCATAGACATAAAAAAATGGGCCACTGAGAACCTGCCCCAAAGGCACCTTATCACTGAGAAAAAAAATTATATTCATTCAGAAAAACAATAGGGAGACAAAGATGAAGATAAAAGAAATGATAAAAGGAAAAAAAAAAAAAAACATTCAAAATTGATCAGAAATTTAAAAAAACAGGGTAAAAAAGGACATAGAGGGAGAACAAATCAAGAATTAAAAAAGACACAGTAAAAAAACCCTAGTAGTGGGTCATTGCAGTTGCAATCTTCCTCTCTACAGTCAATTGGAAACATTCAGAAAACTGGGCTTCCCATCCCCAAGCCTCTTCTGAATCCTTTTCTTTCCAATCCTTCAAGAGCTGAGGGGCAGGAAAGAGTTTTGGTTTCTGTAACTGCAAGGGGACAAAATGAGAAAAATCAGATAGAAAAGAAATAAAAATCAGGGCTTTGTCATTGGGGGGGCAGAAAGAAGGAAGAAATGTCTGGCAAAATGTGCCAGAAAAAAAGCAAGGTCAACGACTCCCGAAAGACAAGAAAAAGCCGAGAACAAGGTTGTGACAATTAGGCTGTTGACTCCCTTTTTGTCAGGCAACTTTAGCCTGATGACTCCCAGTCAAAAAAAAAGAAAACAGAAATCCCTGAAAAAAAATATGAGAATTGGGACTGACAACTCCCAAATATTAGGCGGACAACTCCCAAAAAATAAATAAATAAAAAATTCAAAATGGGCGGAAGACTCCCATAAAAAAAATTGAAATTGGTCCAATGACTCCCTGGACCAACCCCTGGGTCCAGAGTTGGTCCAGGAGTGGTCTACAGACGGTCCTCTCAACGTCAACCAACATATAAAATTTAGGAGTCGTTTTTCCAAGCCCCTATATGTATATCACACCTTGTCTGCTTCTTCAGCTTTGCTGACTTTGCACTCTCTCCGCTATAGTTGTATCAACCCCCAATCTTGATGTCTAAGAACTTGATGAAAATTCAATCATCAGCATCAGTAAGAAGTCCCTACTAGGGGGGGGGGGGGGGTTCACAATAAGAATTTACAAAATTTCTGAAGCCCGTTTTGCAGGTGTTAATTGACACCTTTTTGGAAAAAATGGAAAAGCTGTTCTAATAAATCTGCATGTTGTGAACCCCCCAAATTCCTGTTCAACCTAGTCAAGCTTCCAAAATCTTGCTGACAAGCACCTTAAACCTGGCTATAAAAACTTATTTGTATCATCATGAAAACAAGGGGGGCTCACAATTGAACTTTCTTAATAGGGCCATTTTTAAGGTACAATTTCTGATCACAAGCTCATAAATGTTTTGGGGGTGTTTGGAAAGTTCAAAAATCAGTAAATCTGAGAAATTCAAAAAAAAAAAAAATGGATTGTTGCTCATAGACACCCCCCACCACCTAATGTGAACTGCCCTAATTGGCCAGATGTTTTGATGTTAAGATGCATGGTAGATTGTGAACTGTTCGACATAACAGCCCATGCTCTCACAACGCTCGAGTGCTTTGTGGACCAGATTCTGCCGCACTTCGCAGTCACCTCATGTCGACCTCAGCCGCTCAAGTCTGGGCAACACTTTTCCCAGAGATTGAGGGATTTTAATTGTATTCACAAGGCTGGCCAATGGAAAGGTGCAAATATCTGACTCAACAGCCTTCTCAAGCTAAAACCTCAGATCTCAAAAAAAAAGTGAATTAAATGTTTGATGTGTGTATAGTGCTGTTTCTCCAACCCGAGTCAAGCTATTTTGCCGACACTCGATCTGCCGAGTTGTCCAGCCTAAAAAGCGCATGGGCGATTTGCCTGACGTCTAGAAACTCATTGATAATGTGGCCGGCGAGATAATTTGAGATGAATCTAAATGATGGACATGATTATTACATTTCATTCCTCGTCATCTTCGTCTCCACCGGACCTCATTTGTTCAGCAATGTTACTGGCGATTCGGTCCAAGTCTCGCTGTCCATCTTGCGATACCCGGCGTCCACCTCGAGGGTCCTGATATATCAAATAAAGCAGTCTTGAGATACAATCTGAGCTCATTTGTTGGGGGGTCTGTCTGGAATCCTTACCTTCTCGAGCACTCCGATCTTCTCCAGACCTTGCAGGATCTTCCGTTCGATTGATCGGGAGGCATCCACGTGATGGCTGGGTCGGTTTCCACGGTTCTTGGCGGTCCCGTGAAGCTTGGCCAAGGCGCCAACTCCGACATGTTTTCGGAGGTAAATGTGACGAGCGACACCAGCTATGAGAATGACAGATCATGAGTGATACTGAAAGAGAAATTTTGAGGTATCATTTGAGGTCTTGAAAAACAAAAACCAACCAGCTCGGACGTAGTACCAGTCGGGGTCATATGGAGCAAGCTCCTTGCAGGGTCCGGTCTTGACGATATCCACCCATGTAGGGACCTCGATCTTGCCTGAAATGAGAATTGAGAGTAAACATCCGTCGGCCCTCAAGGAATGGGTAACATCGGGTTCGGAATTGCAGGAGGCCGTTCTCACCAGATCGTTTCAAGTGACCAGCGTATTCGCGGATGAACGCATCGGCGGCGATGTCTCGGACGGAAGGCATGTTGACGGGCGGGTGGGGGTCGATTCGATAGGGATCGTCGGTGGTGGGTTTGCGCTCGGTTGTGTCTCGGCAGTGGCTCTGGTCTGGTTGCACAGCGTGCGTGGAGGGGCTGCTACGCACAACCGGATGGCTTGAAGCGATACTCAACCCTATCTCACCATTAGGTTTCAATCTGTGACACCCCCTGGACCCCCCTTCGCCCGGATGTCACAGACTGACCCGTGACATCTCGTCCACCTGAGGCTGAACCAGTGCACCACCGGCGGATCTTCATCATCCCGTTCCCCCACCCGTCGACATGCCTTCCGTCCGAGACATCGCCGCCGATGCGTTCATCCGCGAATACGCTGGCCACTTGAAACGATCTGGTGAGAACGGCCTCCTCCTTCAATCCCGAACCCGATCCTACCAACTTCTTTGCAGAGCCCCCACGGATGTTTACTCTCAATTCTCATTTCAGGCAAGATCGAGGTCCCTACATGGGTGGATATTGTCAAGACCGGACCCTGCAAGGAGCTTGCTCCATATGACCCCGACTGGTACTACGTCCGAGCTGGTTCGTTATTTCAAGACCTCAAATGATACCTCAAAATTTATCTTACTTTCATTACCACTCACGATCTGTCATTCTCACAGCTGGTGTCGCTCGTCACATTTACCTCCGAAAACATGTCGGAGTTGGCGCCTTGGCCAAGCTCCACGGAACTGCCAAGAACCGTGGAAACCGACCCAGTCATCACGTGGATGCCTCGCGATCAATCGAACGGAAGATCCTGCAAGGTCTGGAGAAGATCGGAGTGCTTGAGAAGGTGAGGACCGCTTGATCAACACACTACAGAAAGGTACCGCGGATTGGATCTTCATGATTGCGTTACATATTTGTGATCAGGACCCTCGAGGCGGTCGACGGGTGTCGCAAGATGGACAGCGAGACTTGGACCGTATCGCCAGTAACATTGCTGAACAGTTGAGGGCCGGTGCAGATGAAGACGACGAAGAATGAAATCTATAACAATCATGTCCTTCACACTCATATGTCTATGCTCGTCGATCACACAACTTGTGTACTTAATGTCCTTCGGTCTGGACTCCAGACACTCCCCGGTCTGTCCTCAGGGCCCATAGGTCAGCGCCCAAAGTCTTGCCAATAGACTTCTGGATCTTACTCTTCGTTATGTTTCTCCTCACTGACCCAACTCAAATCACACTGCTCACCTTTTTCTTTTTTTCTTGTTGGAGAGTTTTCCGTATTTTACGCAATTTACTACACATGTCTTTACACATTCCTCAATTTCTTTGTACAACAACAATCTCTTCATGAATAACGAGAACCCCCAAAAAGAAGCAGGTCTTCTGCATTCTAGACTCTCGTCCTGTTGGTTGACAGTTCCTCCAAAAAAGACACACAGATTATCGAATCAATGGGGCCTCAAATTCACCTTCATTCAGAGGGAAAGTATGGCCTGACTCCCCTGAAGGATTTCCAAATCCAAATCGAAAAAAAAAAAAAAAACTCCAGCCACTAGCAGGGTGCAGGATTGAAAAAGTTTGAAGATTGAAGCCCCTTTTACATAATAAGGTGTTGATCATTTTTGGTATATTCCTAAGAAAAAGCGGTGTGGATTTGTTCACAGAAGCCCCAGATCCCAGCAACTTACAAAACGTTTGCAATGGTGTTGATCATGAAGCTCTTAAGGTTGACTTCAGATCCGATGTTTTTGTCCAAGTTCTGACTATGCTCCAAAAAAAAAAAAAAAACCCCTGTTTCATGAAGGGTATATAAAGCAGGACTGATCTTGACCAGGGATTGAGTGCTCAGTGGTGGTGCTCATTTTTCCGTGTCTTGGATGTGCCTCGGATCGTCGACATGTTGCACCTCCTTAATACTCGCATGACACAGTTCTTTTTTACATTATTGTGGGGGACTTGGCTATTTTATTTGATGAACACAGAGCCTCGCAAGAGGAGGTTAAGAAAAACTTCTCTCTCCTTCTCTCTCTCTCTCTCTCTTTGATGCACGCATGTTGTTCCCTTTCTACCTGAAAAAGAAAAGAACAGGACAGGAAACGAAGGAAGAGCGGCGGAGGATGGACATATTCGTGTTGATTGATTGATTAATCGATTTCATTTCAAGACCTAAACATAAAGAGAAAGAAGAAACCCCGTTCAAGTGAATAAGAACAAAAAAAAAGAAAAAGAAGAAGAAAAGAGAGAATGTAAATATTTATGAGGGAAGGATGTATAAGTAAGAGGATCTAATGGAGAGTAGGATTGGAAGCCGAAGCCACAGGAGCCGAAGCAGCCAAAGAAGAAGAAGAAGACGCGAGTGCGCGATGATTAGGATGAGCGGGGGGATTAAGATGAGGGGAAGAATTGAGCAGATGAGGATGATGATTGGCAGCCAAGGACGCGGCGACGGGTTTCAAGCTGGGCGTGGCGATAGTAGGGAGGACGGGGGTGGTGAGGGAAGGAGAAGACATGAGATGGGTGGCCGGTTTGGCATACGAGGTAGCCAGGAGTTTCTGGACTTGAAGATGATGGAGATGGCGTTGATGGTCGAGTGGGGAAGAGGATCCGATGATGGTAGTCGACGGTAGAGCCGGACGGACGGGGATCGAATGGTCGGGTTGGAGCGCTGGATGGTGGTGTTGGTTCACTGGAACTGGTGGTGTTTGTTGTTGTTGTTGTTGTTGAAGGAGCTGGAGTTTGGAGATGTTGTTATGGACGGCCTGGCCGTTCATAGCCGGTCGATTGGGGAGCAGGTCCGGAGGGTTGGAGAGCATGGTGGCAGGGGGGCCGGCTGGGCCGATGCGGGCGTTCGAGAGACTAGGGTCGCGCCGAGAGGAGGCTGCAGTGGAGAGCGAGTGAGGCAGGAATTGTGGGGCCGAGGAGAGCATCGGGAGCCGAGGGGTCGAGACGCTCGATCTCGAGCTCTGTTCGAGGACCGAGATCAGCTGCGGATTGGGCTCCGAAACCAACGTGGATTCGTGGATGCCCACCGGATTGGCCGGCGGAAGGAGGCCGCTATAGACTACCCTTTCGCTTGCCGAGTCCGCACCGGCCCCGATGGCTAGGACCTCATAGGATTTCCGGATCGCTTCGGCCGTCGGAATCACACTCTGATCTGCTTCCGATGTGTCCATCTGATCGTCTTGATCATCCTGACTTGTACAGCCCGGTCGAGGTCGACGCGCAATCACGCTGGAGAGTCGTTGGACGAGTTGATAGGCCTCTGCTATCTCCTCCCGAGTAGGCTCAGGTACGACCAATTGATTCGGGGTGGGATTTTGTCGTGGGTACATAGAAGGAGTCGATAGGGATGGGTCGAGATGGATATCCTGACTGATTCGTAGTCTATCGAACTGTCTCTCTTGAAGATTGCTGATCAGTTTGGAGGTCTCGAGTAGAGTCGCGTCGATCTCTTGGCGAACTTTTGTCGGACTTATTGGGACGGGTAGATCCTTGGCTGGTGAGCTGGATGGGGTGGAAGCGGCGACGGATGAAGATGAAGTTTTCTGGCGCTTTCTTCCTCGAGTAGCAGGCGCGTTAGATTTCTTCTTCTTGTTATTAGACGCTGGTTCGACTGGTGGTTCTGCAGGGGTTGGGTCGATGAGAACATGGTGGTATCGATCAGCTCGTCTGGACCAGAGATCTATCCTTTGTTTGCTTTGGAATTGAATCCTGGCTTGGTGGAGTGTTTGTGAGCTGGCAGTAGAATCGTAGCAGGGAGCAAATGAGGAATAAGCCGAGTAGTACAACGATGAAACTGAAAGAAAGGGCAAGAATCTTGTTAGTATTTGAGACTATTGATTGAGTTTTCAAGAGGAGTTTTCACTCAACCACTTGGGCCAGCAAAGGGTGACGAGGAGAGCTTGTTGAGGCGTGTTTTGTTGGGTGGATGGTTGCAGACGACTGATGATGATGATGTTGATGATGATTGAGGCTGAGGAGGTAGGATATCGGCTAGGGTGAGTTTCTTGACTGGTTCCTGTTTGATTGGGACTGGATAGTGGATCTGGACGAGGTCGGTATCATTAAGCTGAGCGAACTGATCGATCTGTTGGTCGTCTAGCTTCCAGGTTCGTGCGGTGAAGAGGTCAAAGCCGGGTGTGGTTGTTGATTGGTTTGGTGTTCGCTGGTAGGTGTAGTCGAGATGTCGATGGAGGATGAAGGTTTGTTCTTGGTCTGAGTGGTTTGTATCGGGCTGAGTGTCGGATGAGCTTGATTCTGAATCTGAGTTGTTTGAGTTGTTTGAATCTGAGTCTGAGTCTGAGTCTGAGTTTTGTTCTGAGTTGGTTGGTGGTGGTTTTGAAGATGAGTTTGGATGACGAGGTTCAGTGCGAGTGGTTCGAATTGAGTCTGTTGTTGTTGGGAGAGTGTGTGTTAGTGTTTTGAGTTGCTGATGGAGTAGTAGTAGTAGTGACTGACCATTGGTTGTTGTTTTTCGTTGGACCATCTCTTTGGGTTTTTCTTTTTCTTTTTTTTTTTTTTTTGGTTCTGGGTTGTTGTTGACCAATTCACCCGGGGGCGGAAAGCAGACCCGTCAGACTTGAAGAATTGTCCGACGCGTGTATGCGCAAATCCCCCGGGGTGACCCGAGCAAAAACCCCTACACACATAGCAACCTCAACTGATGGAACCAGTAGAAGTTCAAAAGCTTGCTCAGTTCCCTAGAAACCGCTCACCTTGGTTGCCCCTTCATGCTGACAACCCAACTTCGAAACCGAGAAGGCAGCTTAAAGCGCTTCTGGCCATCACCCTATAGTTAGATTGCATGCTAAGCCAACTCCCAAGACTTCAGTTTTTTTTTGTTGGTTGGAAAACTACCTCCTTTGGATGAGAAATTTGATCTCAAAAGGGTCAAGACTCAGAGGTAGTCAACACAATTTTGCCCTATACATTTGCTGAGATTTATTTTCCCTGCAAGCTTCTTCTCCCTCTTATACGTGCACTTTGATGTCCTGAGGGCATCCCACAATAAATTGTCCTGTCCAAATCCATTTTACATACAAGCATGTAAAACTTCCATATAAAAACTTCACCATGACCAGGCTAATTTGATAGCTTTGTTTTGGTCCGTGGGAAAGCCCTGGGGCAAGGTTGTCATCCCAGGGCAGTACCTGTAATCCCAAACTGCACCCATGGTGTAGCATCCATGGCAGTAGGTGATGATCACACCAGTGGTGTGATCTGTCACAACCATTACTACATTCCCTCACAGGTTTCAAGAAAACATGATTCTCAAAAGATTAATGATGACATGCATTTCCATAAAATGTCATCAGCTCAACACCATTTTTATTTGCATAAAACACTCTAAATCATGCTTTTCCCTCTTGTCAATTGATTTGAATTTAATTCCATACTCCTAGGTGTATTTTGTTCACACCTCACACGGGAATCTCCAAAAAGAGGAGAAAATGATGTGGCAGATTCCATGAGTGCCCTCCGATCACAATATGAAGGCCACTTTGCCAGTGCATTGTTTCAGCCTGCACCAGAAATTCAAGGTATCAAAATCGAAATTGTTCACTACTTGAAGCAAGATGTTGAAACCCGGAATGCCAATCTCCTCTCTTTTTGGGCATTACATCAAAAATCACTCCCCAAACTCGCACTTATGGCTTGTCAATACTGCTCAATCCCTGCCACCAGTGCAGCATCAGAACAAGTCTTTTCCACTGGCCGCCGGGTTGTCTCATGGCAACGATCATCCCTCAAGCCATCAACGGTTGAAAACCTGCTGTGCCTGAAGGATTGGTTCCAGGCTTTTTGGTATGAATCATACCACTTTCATGCGTATGATTTCAGGATTTTCCCCAAACATCCATACATTTTGGTTACCCACCTCTAGAGGGGGCTTCCTGGGTTCTGACTCCTGTCAGCACTGGTGTCTGGTGTGACACAGTGCTGAGGGGTTTTTTTCACACTATGACTGTAGAGGCAGTCAGTGGAAACAGGTCTCACTATTGTTGTAAATTACAACTTGATGAGAAAGACCCACACTTCTATGCTATTGCTAGAGTAGCAGAGGGGTTTAGAGATGGTCTCCGGGTATCCGTTGCGGATACCTGTTATCCGCTGGCAGATACCCGCCAGCAGATGCGGGTTTGGGTGCGGATGTGCCCTTTCTGCTGATTTTGCAGCAGATACCCGGGTATCTCAACGGATACCCAAGGCCAATGGCCGGCTGGAAGGGTTTCCTTCCAGCCGGCAAGGTACATGTACCTTGTCGACTGGAAGGAAACCCTTCCAGTTGGCGAGAGGTACATGCTTGCTGGCTGGAAGGCTTTCCTTCCAGTTGGCGAGGTACATTTACCTCGTTGACTGGAAGGAAGCCCTTCCAGACGGCAAGAGGTACATGCTCACCGGCTGGAAGGGTTTCCTTCCAGTTGGCAAGGTACATGTACCTCGTCGACTGGAAGGGTTTCCTTCCAGTCGGGTGAGCTACTTCAACTGGCTGGAAGGCTTTCCTTCCAGTTGGCAAGGTACATGTACCTCGTCGACTGGAAGGATTTCCTTCCAGCCGGCAAGAGGTACATGCACCTCGCCACTGCCGGCTGGAAGGGTTTCTTCCAGCCGGCAAGGTACATGTACCTTGCCAACAGGAAGGAACCCCTTCCAGACGGTGCCTCGCCGACTTTTTAAAGGGCGGGTATCCGAGGATACCCGCTGGCGGCTGCGGATGCGGGTTCGGATGCCCATTCCCCTGAAAAAGCAGCCAGATATCCGCATCCGCGCGATATCCAGATGCAACGGGGCCATCTCTAGAGGGGTTAGATCCCTGAATTACTAGGGGACAGTGGTGGTATGAGCATCACCATGGTGAGCTCAGAGCAGAGTAGAAGAGGCTCTTCTAGAATACCTGTTCAGAGGAACAGGTCTCTAGGGATATAGACCATATGGAGGAAGATAAGATAATGATGAAAAAAAAGGAGTTATAATTGAAACTAGAACAAGAACTGATAACATGAATAACAAGAGTTCAAGTTTTTTCATAGAAAATAAAAAAAATAAGAAACAAGCATAAAATAAGGAAAAAGAAATTTACCACAAGTAGAGTTGACTTTTGACTCAAACAGAACAGAAAGGCTGAAATATAAGATCAAGAGATCAAACAATGAAAAAAAAACTAATGTTAATTCATGAGATGAAAAGAGTTGATCAGATTGATAGGTGTTGCTGGGCCATAAGTGCCAGTTTTGGGAACGATTTCCAACAGCTTGCCCAATAAGAAAGGACTTTCACATTCTTAGTTTTGAGAATAAATAGATGGTAGCATCATGTCACCTCACAAGAAAAAAAAAAGTACAATCATCTGTAGGTGTACAGTTGCGTACAGCATAAACCAACCCCACCCCACCGCAAAATATAAAAGCATCATGCAGGCCCTCCAGAGGGAGGGCCATATACACTGATAGTCTGATACTAATGTTTATTACAATTTTGAACTTGCACAAGTGTGCAGAGTTCAAAATTGTAGCCATTGTGGTTTCAACCCAGTGGTTCTTTTTTTTTCTCAGTGTGAAGTGAAGTTTGTTGGACAGACTTTCCAAAATCCATACCTAGACCCATAACTATGGGTATAAGAAAGGCATACATATCCATATGTGTTTGAACCATTCTGATGTCCCTTTCTTACCTTCAGCACTTATCTTGAGTCATATTTCAAGGTTGTAAGGGGTTTTTAAACACTCTGGAGGCTCATAAGAGCTCAAAAGCCTGATCAAGATACAAAAAAAATCTTGTTTTTTTGCGTCACATTTTCAGACATCCTGAAAATGGCATCCGCAACTGTGCTTGGGGCAAGCCCCAATCTTCCGGGTTCCGGGGAGAGCCCCTTGGACACGGGTGCCCTTGGAAATTGGAATGGCCTCCCGTTCCCGAGCCCCGTCGTAATCCCATCGACTCCTAATGGTGCCTCAGCCACCTGGTCCCCAAATGTCATTCAAGCGTTTGGCTATAGCTTGTCTTCTCGTGTTATCCGAGAATAAAGGGTACAAAAAAATACCGATTGCCCACAAATTTCTCCATTTGTATTTCTGAGGTACTGGAGTTGCATGGATAAATATTTATGAATAGAACACCGGGTTTTCTAAAACGCATCCGTCACCCGAAGGTTTGTTGGGCTCGATGTGAGTACGGACTACGGATTCGATGGACGATCGTTCCAGCTTCTTCGGCTGGATTGTAGCCGCTCGAAAATGAAGCCATCACCGCCAGAGGCACAGTGAAAGCCATCCCTCTTGGTTCTGACAGAGAAATACGTACACAACCCAGCTCGGACCGGTACACACCACCATCTTCACGCCGCTTGAGCTGTATTTGAGTTTCTATAAAGAAGCATGGCTTCAGAAAGCCAGGACCTTTGCACCAGGCTTAACAGGGCTTAACAAGTTCAGCCAGAGGTCTGAGTGGGTGTAGGAAAGCCCTGCGGTGTCGATGTGTTGTATCAGTATGTGGCAGTAACGAGTAAATCAAAGGGATTCAAGAATCAAAACTTCTATGTAAAAGCCGGTCTGGTGTTCACCGTATTGGCTCGCTCCGTCATCAAAGCGCGTCCTTCTGTCAGACGTAGATATTTAAATATATTGAATCTATCACGTCTTCCCATCCAGACCGCCCATGATGCTTCTCACAGGCTTCCTTCAGAGATCATTCATCGTCTTGACAGTCTTAACCCTTATCACTCTTGCCTCGGGTCTGTTTGCATCTTCCCCGCAGCATTGCGGGCTTTATTTTAACGGCTTCAGCCCCGTCAAGGACAAATTTACCGGTGAGTAGATACCCAGTAGGTCAACTCAAAGCAAGCATTTGAGTGCTAATCCTTAGAAAATATCCACAGTCTGTAAGAACTACTCGGGTATAGAGTATCAATGCCCCAGTCAAAACTGCAACCTGCGACATGTTAAATGTGAGCAGAATTGTTAAAAACTGTTCAAGGGTTCACGCTAACTGATCGAAAGTCTTTTTTTGCCCTTTTTTTTTCTCTGACACGTGCTACTGGATGAATATAACATGGCAGGGCCGGAATTCAAGTTCATCAGCTGTAGTGAATATTCAAATGGGCCTGATAGTCCCCTTACCGGCTACGTTATCCCCTGGGTGTTTGTATCAATAATGAGAGCTTACAAAGATCAGCAGTATGTTGGTGAGTCTTTGGGCTTATCCGCTTGATCAGAGGAAACACTTTTTACACAAGTTGATGTTACCTGCAATCTTATGTGAATACATTATTACATAGACGTCAAGGCTTATAGCCTTGATACGTGGTACAAGTGCACTTGGCAACATCCGAACGACTTTAACAACTGGAAGCCTTGTGAGCTCCTCTTAAACATGAACTGAAGTAAGACTTTCCAGAATGCTGATCTTTTTGAAAACCACCAGTCTGCACCGGTTGTGAGCCTACTAATTCGATTGGCAAGCCATAAGTTCTTGCTCCCACATCATTGGTGTTTTTTATCACCACATGGGCGGCCAACTTCGCTATGTAGCCGGCGCCACAACGACACCGCCCACTTTGGGCCACGGCGACATGTCTTGGACCCTGACACCCTCTTTTCCCTTTCCTAATCTGGGCTGATACTCAGCCCCTTGTTTTATTGTGACTAGACTACTTTGGTCTATCTTTGTATGCGGCTCTCCACTTATCATGTTTTGTGTTTCACTCCTCATCTGGGGTATATAAACCCTCAATCTTTCCCGCCAGGCTGTAGACGGCAACCATCTACATTGATTCATAGTCTTTTTAGCTTTATAGTCATAGTTTCCTTTGCATTGCATATAGTTTTAGCTTGCCACAGCAGTAGCCTTTCTATAGCCCTAGAGCCTTGTTAGCCTCCCGGCTTCAGCTAGAACCTATTTCCTCTGCTCATACTGTTTGTAGACAAAAGGGCGCATTCTTTACTACTAGCCATGTAAAATTTGGCTCCAAAAAGCTTGATGATTGGTACATCTATCAAAGTGAGTGTAAGTTGGCGTAAACTTATGCAAACACAGAGAAGAACAAAACCTTTTCTATCAGGACCATGAAGATGACCAAAATTTGAAATTTATCCTAGCTTCTGGATCAGGTAAGGGTATAAGTATCCGTTTCTCGAACCGTTGCTGGATGGAAATATCTAACTGCCAAGGAATCTATCCCCAGCCGGTGCATGGGTTTTGTTGAGAGAGAGATGGAGATCTGTGAAGAAGTGCCAGTTTGGTATTAGTTTTGTTTTGATTCATTCTGAGTCTTGAAGAGCCAAGATGGTAGACCTTGACAAGCTGGTAGTAGCGCTCCTTGATTTGATGGGTCAAGGCCAAGTGGGGAAGATTTTTACCAAAAAAAACCCACCCCATGAACCGGACACAGGTTCCTATCAAACCACTTCAAACTAAAAGGAAACAAAGAATTGCTTGAAAGACTGACCAATAGACAATCACCACCTTTCCGCAAGACTTCCACATTCCAGTTTCAATCAAATATAATGGTGAGTCAATCATGCAAACATGGGTCCCGGTGAACCACAGCTTGATTAATCTGAGGACCATCAAGTGACAGATGCTTGGATTGAGTAGGTTATTGAGCCATTGTTGTTTGCTTGGATTGCTGAAGATGATTTCACCGAATTGTTCTTGATTTAGGAAACCGTTGTGGGAATAGACAATATCCAGCTGGCTCAAAAAGTGTTTCTTGAAGGGACTGGGCGATTGAGAGCTGGGGAGGTGCTGGAAAGCAGATAGATAAGAAAGGAAAAATTACTTTTGTTGAGTTTTCTGTTGGTAGGTGTTGTTTGTGAACTGATGGGGAGGTAGTGACTGGCTGGATTGAAGAGCTGAGATATCAGGATATGAGTAGATGAGATGGAAAAACTCCCCCAAGGGGAAAAATATAATTACATAGATGAATAAGATTTATATACAAAAGTATGCATGTACTTGGGTTGATGAGTAAAAAGTATAAAACCATAGTAAAAATATGTAATAAAACTATAAAATGATGTAATAAAATAAATAATGAAATAATGCTTATGTAGTATGAGAAATGATGTATCACAACACTCCCCCCCCCCTCATCAACCCCCAAAGCAAAAAGGAACATACATAAAAGAAGCATAAAAAGGAAAAAAGAAGGTAAAACAGAAGGAGACAAAATAAGAAAACCAGTTCAAGTAAAACAACAAATAAAAAAAAAAATACAAAGAGAAGAAATACACCAACAAAACAAAAAAGAAAGACAAGGAAGAAAGAATAGCAAAGAAAGCCGCCAAAAAAAAAACATAAAGATGTGCGGGGGGTATGCTCCTTGATGCTAGCGCATATTATCCCCCTGTACTTTCCAAAGTGGGAGGCTTTCCCTTAAGCCCCATTTGAGTGGCAAAATCAGAAACCTTCTTCCAACCCAAAGCCTTAGTGAAGATATTGGCCAGCTGATCATTTGTTGAAATCCATTCCAGGCAAACGTTTTCATGATAAAGCATTTCATTGATGATTTGAAACTTGTGATCAATGTGTCAATGTTCTTTTATGGCTCTGCAATCCTTGCTGATGTGGACCGTGGCTTTATTTTTGGAGAAAATTAACGGAGCCAACACCTTGAAGAATTTAGACAAGAGGGACCTCAGAATATTTATTTCAGTCCTTATTATCTCATTTCTTTTGCACTACATATTATTTTTATCACAAACAGAAGTTATTTCATATTTTCTCCTTTTCAACATGTTTATTTCACACTACACATTTGTCAGCCACATTTATTTCATAACCACTTGTTTTTCAGATACAACTTATTTCATACCATATTCTTATTTCAGCTGATATCTTACCACTAGTACCTGGTCAGAACCACCCACATGTATATAGAGAATACTCTTTCCCACTTACTTTTTTCCCCATGCTTGCATTATAGAAGTAAACAGATAATTACTTAGCAGACATCCCTTACTAGTAATTACCAGAGGTAATTATTATTGATTTTCCCCCAGAAGATAAGAAATTGAACCCAGAAACCATTATCCCCCAGAGCCTCATCCTTACCAAAATCCCCCCACATCCTCACACTCTCACAGGTGCCTTGTACAAGACATCAGTAATAAACCTCATACTAAGATTACCCACAGAAATAGCCACACCTTTTCTTTAATTCTTAGTGTAACTCTCTCCCAAGCCTTGACAAGAGGGCAGCTTCATCAGAATCCAAGTCTACAACTCAAATTTTCCCCTGTGTAGTTGCTCTTTTCCCCTTTAAGCTCTTTTCTTTAGCTTGAAAAGTTCCACAACGTTACATGATTAATTTCACCAGTGTTGATAAGAATGTCGCCACTTTTATCGGGGGGCCCCAGAGATGGACGCAAATGAGTTGTTCGACACCACCAGGTGGTTGGAAATGACAGAGGATTTGTTGGGCTTCCATACAGGGTTCTGGAGAGGTGGAAGTCCACTTTTTGTACAAGGGCAGTCTGGCACCCAATGCCCCCAATCCCAGTAAGAAGTACAAGGGAATTCCAGTGTGATGATTTTTTGTCCTCAAGTATCTGCAGGAAATGAAATCCTACTTCCAGAGGAGGACTGTCCACCACAACCAACTGGAGCACGGCCCTAATGTCCACCTCTTTCCCAGAAACCACAAGGCTATTGAGCAGAAATACCCATGACAGATGGCTGATTTGGCTGGTTCTTGGCAGACTGATCAATCCAGATTGGCACATTTTTTACGTCAATGGAGGATACAGAAATTGATGGGGAGATCGCCAGAAGAGAATCAATGACATTAGCAACCTTGCTGGAATATCAACGGAGGCTAGTGTTCAACAAGAGAGACAAAAACTTATTGGCTGTTAACCCCCCCAGCTGCTCCTCCAAATCAAGCCAGCTCCTCTTCTGAGATTCATAGCTAGCCAATATCAAGTCCGATGTGTCTGGGGCATGCACAACGTTGGACCAATGACTAAGGAGAAGAGACCAGGAAGCAGCGATGGGCAGTTACGTTATCCAGTTATCCATAAATTTCATGTTTAAATTAGTATTTAGAGGTCTATATCTTAGACTTGTATTTAAATGCATCTAGCACTTTAATTTACCCTGATTTATAAAAAATACTATTCATAATATGGAAAGCTCAACCCTGGGGAAAATTATGCCTCAAAATAAAACCAAAATTATTTATCCAGCTCATTAGTTACGGATAACTGGATTTTGGTGCTATAATGAAGGATTACAGATATGTCAGTTGAACAAGGTCAAATTGGAATGCCAACATGATAACATGCACTTTCAAGTATCACAAAAGAACTATCTCAACTTTTTTGAACATCTGTAGCATGTGATGTTGATGTCTGAGCTCTAGTGAAGACTCCAGAACATTTTTATATTCAAGATCAAAACACATTATCTTTACAATGACATCATCAAGCTTAGACCTCATGGTTCTCGAGCCCTTGAAATGATGTCATTGTGCATGCACCTCTTTCCTTTCTTTGACTCCTTCTTCTCTTTATTATCCCTCATCTCTTCTTGACTGTTCTTCTCCCTGAAGACCTCATCACACTCCATAAGATCCTGCAACATAACTTCTCCTCATTACTACATCTCAAAGTTTATTCCATCACTCTTATAAGACAAACATCCTCTACTGTCTTATCACACTACTCATCCTCTCAATCATTTTCTTACAACAAGTTTCTTGTCTCAACAAACATCTTACCTTGAGCTTCCTTGCCTCTCTTCTAATTTGACTCTTACGTCAACCATTTCCTTTTGTCTTGACCTTTGCTTTGAACATTCCCTTCCATCCGCCAAACCGCCAATCACATCTTCTCTGATACAACTTCTCTATCATTGTAGGTTATCGTCACTCTCTTCTCATCATTGTTCTTATGATTAAATCGCTCTCTTTTGTCAGAATTTTTTCTTCATTTCTCTCACCACTTTAGACAGTTGTTCTTATTATTAGCCATATACTGCTTTTAGGTGATTATCTTTTCTTCTTTCTTCTTTTTCTCATGTTGTATTTCATTTAGCTGGTACTCATGAAATACTACTTTTAGTCTAAACATTCACATGTGATACAACGATTTACAGACAAAATTTGATCTGGATAACTGCCCATCACTGCAGGAAGGGCCAGAAAAACGGTCGTATAGAGAAGTCCATGCCCCATGTGCAGTCATACCGTTGAGTGATGAGCGGAGCAAAAGATCAATTGAGTGTTTGATGACCGCAAGAACCCCCAGAGCAGTAGCGGATTCCTCCTCAAACAGATCCCAATTGAAACAGTTTTCCTTCTGAGTGACAGAGGCAACAATGTAATTTAAAGCAGAGGACCAGAGAGGAAAGTTTGACCCGTCAAGAAGTAAAGCTGGCTGTACATCTTTACCCAGCTGCTGCAATTTGAGAAGGCTAGAGACCAAACTACCGGAAGACGAGTTAGTGCGGCACATCTTGTTGATAGTCTTGATAAGGAGGAGTTTTAAAATATCATTGTTGAAAACTTCCAAACCACCCGATCCCATTTCAAGGTGCAGCAAATCCTTGACCAACTTTTCTTGACTCACCAGAACTTTAGGAACATCAAAGACAGAATCAGGTAAAGCGGAATCGCGACCGATTTTGTTTGTTGGGAAAGCAGGGGTGGGAGAAGTTGAGGGGGTAACAGCCCTGGCTTTGTCCTTTGACCTTGGAAAGGATGGTCCATTGGCAAGGCCCAAGACAGGATCCTTTGCAGCAGGGTTAGGAGTAACAACCTCAGGTTTGCTGTTGGGATGCAAAAAGAAAGAACAATTGCCGAAGCCCAAGGCTGGTTCATCCACAGCAGGGTTATTGCCAGACACAGCCGTGAAAGGAAGAGGAACCAAAGGTTTAGTGCCAGAGACAGACGTCAAGGGAAAAGGGACTGAATGGTGAGGGCACATGGCAGAAGGAATTGCAGAAGGTGTAGCCAAAAAAAGGGAGGAATGAGCGTTGGCGCGAGCGGCAGGGAAAGAACCAGGAACAACCGAGACAGAAGACTGGTTGTTGTTGGACATGGAAGATTGAGAGTTGGCCAAGTGAAAAGAAGACAAATCATTGTTGGGTAGGGAAAAATGATGATGTGGAGGTGTGACTCTGGCAGGGAATTCAGGAATGACAAATTCAGGATTCCAAGATCAAGTATTAACCATCAAAGAGGTCCCAAATTACACAGGATAAGATGCAAACAAGGGAAGTGGTAATACCAAAAATATGGGGAGTGATGAAAAAAAAGCTACTGATCCCGCTGGTGACAGCGCTGGCTCATAACCTGTAGAGCTTAGATATCAGGATGTGAGCAGATGAGATGGAAAAACTCCCCCAAGGGGAAAATTATAATTGCATAGATGAATAAGATTTATATACAAAAATATGTATGTACTTGGTTTGATGAGTAAAAAGTATAAAACCATAGTAAAAATATGTAATAAAACTGTAAAATGATGTAATAAAATAAATAATAAAATAATACTTATGTCATATGAGAAATGACATATCACAACAGATAGGGGTGGCACACTTCAGAGCTATGGTGCACTGAGTCTGTAGCTGCAGGGTGCACTTGCATAAAATATGCAAGATCATGAGCTTAACTAATCCTCTCCGAGGAGGCACGAAGCGTCTCCAAAGGAGAGGCTTACCTCCAAAGTTGCTTGCCTGCCTCAACAGAAATGAATTTTCTGCAAAAAAACCCCTCATCTGATTTTGTTTAATTTTTTGAAAATACCCTGAGCCAAGTTGGGAAAAACTGAATAGACAGATTGGTAGCCTGCCATCTCAGCTTTCATCCTGCATTTTTTCTTATATCCTCCTGCAATAACTACCAGTGAAGCTCACTTCTTCTTCAGTGATTTTCCTTATTTTGCAAAGTAAATCAATTTGAGATTTTTTGCACTTGCGGATATTGGATCACAAGTCATCTCACGGCCAATGCATAGTATACAATCCTCAATACAATAGCATTGTATTTCCTTGGATGAGTTCCGACAGGTTCTGACAGTGGAGGACTTCCCGTCGTCCAAATCTGTAAATTTAGAAGGACATCCTAAACGTTATTTGCTGGCGAAAATTGATCAAGATCAAGTTTTCATCAGCCAATAGAGTTTAGGACCCCCTTCCAGATCAAGTGATTTAGGCGACGGGAAGTCCTCCAGTACAACACTGACTCAAGCTATGTATGTTCTCATGACCAGATATACCTGATAGAATATCCAGCCATAATCAAGGCGGATTGCTTGCAAAATTTTTCAACATCAACAATTTTACAGGCAGTCTCTTGCCAGGGAAGAGGGATATTCAAAAGCTTGAAGCGGCTATAAATAAGATGAGAAGCCTGCGATTCTGATGGTCAAATCCTCAGGATGAGAATCATAATGGAACAGGGATCTCCAAAAAAACCAACAGTTTACATTGCCTATATTTCCTTGAATAGTGGGCAACACAAGTTAAAAATTATGTAGCCCAAAAGGGCAGGAGTAGAGCTTGAATCTGACCCATCGGCGGAAGATTTGGCTTAATGGGTCAGGATTTGGCACAGGTGCAAAGATTTTCACCACCAAAAAGCGCAGAAACGCCTCTCAGTATCCACGGGAGGAGGGGGACTTGAGGCACAAGTCCCTCCCTGTGGTCGGCGCAATGCGACAGTGGCGAGGCTACTCGGATGCCAACGCCGCCCACAGCAGGGAATCGGGACTTGCGTTAAGTTCGGCCTAGTTGCGGCTCTGCTGGACCCCGAAATTCTCCGCAAGCCGCTGATTGGGGCTGAAAATTGCCCAGTCGCGGCTCTGCTGGAGATGCTCTAAGCCCCTTCCGGAGCAAAGCCGGGTGGGACTGCCTGTTGGTACCAGTAGCGAGCCAGCGCAAGTGGACATAGACTCCTGATGGTGCCAGGACCACCTGGTCCACAAACGTCCTTCAAGCGTTTGGCTATAGCTTGTCTTCTCGTATCATCCGAGAATAAAGGGTACAAAAAAATACTGATTGCCAACCAATTTCTCCATTTGTATTTCTGAGGTACTGGAGCTGCATGGATAAATGTTTATGATCAATAGAACACCGGGTTTTCTAAAACGCATCCGTCACCCGAAGGTTTGTTGGGCTCGATGTGAGTACCGATTCGATAGACGATCATTCCAGCTTCTTCGGCTGATTGTAGCCGCTTACAAAATGAAGCCATCACCGCCAGAGGCACAGTAGAGGCCATCCCTCCACCGGTGCATCCCTTCTAGTTCTGACAGAGAAATACGTACACAACCCAGTTCGGACTGGTACACACCACCATCATCACGCCGCTTGAGCTGTATTTGAGTTTCTATGAAGAAGCATGGCTTCAAGAAGCCAGAACCATTGCACCAGGCTTAACAAGTTGAGCCAGAGATTTGAGTGGGTGTAGGAAAGCCCTGCGGTGTCGATGTGTTGTACATATGTGGCAGTAACGAGTAAATCGAAGGGATTCAAGAATCAAAACTCATAAAAGCCGGACTGGTGTTCACAGTATTCGCTCGCTCCGTCACCAAAGCGCGTCCTTCTGTCAGGTGTAGATATCTAGATTGAATCTATCACGTCTTCCCATCCAGACCGCCCATGATGCTTCTCACAGGCTTCCTTCAGAGATCATTCATCGTCTTGACAGTCTTAACCCTTATCACTCTTCCCTCGGGTCTGTTTGCATCTTCCCCGCAGCATTGCGGGCTTTATTTTAACGGCTTCAGCCCCGTCAAGGACAAATATGCCGGTGAGTAAATACCCAGCAGGTCAACTCGAAGCAAGCATTTGAGTGCTAATCCTTAGAAAATATCCGCAGTCTGTGAGAACTACTCGGGCGTAGAGTATCAATGCCCCAATCAAAACTGCAACCTGCGACATGTCAATTGTGAGCAGAAGTGTTATAAACTGTTGAAGGGTTCACGCAAACTGATCGAAAGTCTTTTTTTGCCTTTTTTTTTCTCTGACACGTGCTACTGGATGAATATTACATGGTAGGGCCGGACTTCAAGTTCCTACGCTGCAGTGAATATTCGAATGGGCCTGATAGTCCCCTTACCGGCTACGTTATCCCCTGGGTGTTTGTATCAATAATGAGAGCTTACAAAGATCAGGAGTATGTTGGTGAGTCTTTGGGCTTATCCGCTTGATCATAGGAAACACTTTTTACACAAGTTGATGAAACCTGCAATCTTATGTGAATACATTACATAGACGTCAAGGCTTATAGCCATGATACGTGGTACAAGTGTACTTGGTACCATACGGACAACTACAACAAATGGAAGCCTTGTGAGCTGCTCTCTTAAACATGAACTGAAGTAAGACTTTCCAGACTGCTGATCTTTTTGAAAACCACCAGTCTGCACCGGTTGCGAGCCTACTAATTCGATTCACAGGCCATAAGTTCTTGCTCCGCATTGGTGTTTTTTATCACCACAGGGGCGGCCAACCTCGCTAGAACCTATTTCTTCTGCTCATACTGTTTGTAGATAAAAGGGCAAATTCTTTACTACTAGTCTGATAAAATTTGGCTCCAACAAGCTTAATGATCGGTACACCTATCAGAGTGAGTGTAAGTTGGCGTAAACTTATGCGAACAAAGAGAAGAACAAAACCTTTTCTATCAGGACCGTGAAGATGACCAAAATTCGGAATTCAAGCGTTGCAAACGAAAGTATCAAAAGATAAAACCAATGAGCAACTTTGATGATAGAAGGATTGGGTTGAGCCTATTTCCTGAGAAGAGCGAGGATGTATATATGAAGGATAAGAATACAAAAGGATTAAAAGGGTTGAATCTTGAATGGCAGGCAGACGGGACAAAATAAGGGTACAAAAGAAAAGAAAGGGTAAGATATGAAAACGAGATCAAGCTCCATCCGCCCCCGATTCATTTGTGAATTCCAAATGTCGCTTGATATCCTCCTCCCTAACTGTCGGCGAAGTATTACGGAGAGCCCGGAGAAAATCAGGTAGTGTGAGAGCCGGCTCGAGCAGCTCTGTAGCCTCGACTTCGTTCCAACTCTTCTCGATCGCCAACGGATCTCCGGGCGAACATGGTGTCAGTTTCTTGACCGAAATGGTGGGGTCTTTGGCACTTGGAACCATGACCTGCAAACAAACAAACACAATATCGTGAGATGAAGGCTTTTTGAGTGAAAACCTTGCGTTAGTCTGAAGCAGTCACTTGAGGGCTTACGGGCCTGAAATGAGTCGCACTCAATACTTTCCTCACTGGCTGCATCAGCGCATCTCGAACGACGACGGCAATATCAGAGCCAGAGTAACTGTCAAAAAAGGTGGGTCAGTTGACGCGTTTTCACACTAGTTGAGATGAAAATCCTTTTACCCTTGTGATTGTGAGGCTAGTTCACGATAATCCTGTTGTGTCAAAGTGCAGGGTGTTGTGCCTACGTTGAGTTCAAAGATTCGTTTCCTAGCTTCCGGATCAGGTAAGGGTATAAATATCCGTTTCTCGAACCGTCGCTGGATGGCAATATCTAACTGCCAAGGAATCTATCCTCGACAATTTTGATAAGAAATAAAACAGCCGCAATCAATGTGAGGGGCGTTAAACACGCGATAGGATAAGATCAAAGTATCACAGACGTTGGTGGCCCCGAGTACCAAGACACCCTCAGCATCATTTCCGACGCCGTTCATTTGGACCAGAAATTCGGTTTTGATCCTTCGAGCGGCCTCAGATTCACCCTCCCCTCTCGTCCCACATAGTGAATCAACTTCATCAATAAAAATAATTGCCGGTTTGTTCTCTCGAGCCATTGTGAATAGCTGTTTTACCAAGCTAATTAAATTTTACGTATAGAAAGGGACAAAACCCGGTGTCAGTTGAATTCTTGCGATTGCAAAACGGTTGTTCTCACAAGAGGTAAAGAAAAATAATGCGCACCGCTCACTTTCGCCCATCCATTTGCTAACGAGATCACTACTACTTACTGAGAAGAATGTACTTTTTGCTTCTGTCGCGACCGCCTTAGCCAAATAACTCTTTCCTGTCCCAGGCGGACCATACATCAAAATGCCTCTCCAAGGAGTTCGTTTGCCCGTGAAAAGATGGGGAAACTTGATTGGTAAGATCACCGCTTCTTTCAGGGACTCTTTCGCTCCTTCCAAACCGGCCACATCATCCCAACTGACGTTCGGTGTTTCGGCCAGAATCGCACCTAACACGGGGTTTTGATGTCAGCGTCTTTGAAATCTCTTATCTCAAGCCATACCAATCAGCCTGTTTTTTTTTTCTTACTTGAAAGGGCGCCTCGTAACTTTTTCGTATCCGCGTCATCTCCATCTGCATTAGCTCTGCCCAAGGAGAAAAGTATGAAAATCAGTTTCTTAGCCTCGCGAAATTCATTTAAAGAGCTCATACTCACCCTGATCCTCCTTCGCCATTTGTGCCTTTTCCGTTAGCACCCACAGCTTGTCGACCGCGTTTATCATCTGGAGTCTTGGGATGAAAACAAATCGGGAAAGGTAAGGCTTTGAATCACAGATCGAGAAATTGTGAAATTGTTTCTTCTCTGTAGTCGATTATACGGGATAGTGTTTTACCTGGACGTGTGTTTTGAGTTTTTCGGCTCTGTCTAGATATTCTTCCATTTTGCTACGAATCAAATCTTTCAGTTTCGGATTTTTTTCGTCTACATAGATTTGTTGGTTTGTTTTGAACATGGTGATAGTCAGTCAAACATAAAACATACGCGAATAGGGCGAGAGAGGAAAGGAAGAAAAATCTAAAGCATTGGATTATGATAGATGATTCGAGATGAATAGAAGCGCTTGAGACATTGATGTGACGACGAACATTTGTAGGCCATATGGAAGTAATCGAGTGCGTTCTTATAAAGTTTCAAACTTTCCTCCCAGTTCTGTTTGATATCTTCATCGATAGCTTGTCGAACGATCTCGCATGCTCTCTAATTCAAACGAAAGAGACTCAATCAGTTCTTCGGAACAGCGGAATTGTGAGAGACGCTGGACTGACATCTAAGAAATTACTCTGTCCTGACATCTTGATTGGTTCTCGTTTCCTTTGTGGGGTAGTCGCTTGATTCGTTAGGTTTGTTCCAGTGTTTTTCTTGATTTCAGTTTCGTTCTGGATTGATAAGGATGGTGGGTAGAGTGAGATGGTGGTTCAAGTGGTGCTGAATGGTCACTCGTGTGAAGGACAAGTTCTTGGCGATCCCCGGTTGAGCCTTGCGATGATCCGCCACCGGGCTCGGATATTATCTGCCCAAGATTCTCATCCGGCCGCTCCGAGTGCCATCCCAGGAAATCAACTTCAACCGGAAACACACGCCTCATCGCTCAAAGTTGGGATCACAACACAACCATCACCTCATCGAGGTTAATATTGTGTTTCTCGTGATTGTTGGACACAATCCGATTTTTCTAGTTTTGATTATGCGCTCGAAGAGCCCCAGATCTGCATTTTTTTACATTTTTTCCTTGAGTTTTTGCCCATACTATCTCACTCTTTGCTTCCCACTTTTCCACGACCACAGCCAGCCACCAATGCTTTGCAACTGCCCAGCCTTACTCAGATGCAACTGTGGTGAGGAATGCAGCTCCTGTGATGAGTCAGACCAAGGCAAACTTTTGTCTCCGGTTCTGAAGATGAAGTCCCTTTTGTCATTTCCTCACTTCAAACCCAATGGAAAGGGAAGTAGACACCAAGGTTGGTTGAACTGGCCTTTGGTCAGAAAGGAAAAAACTCGCAGATATTGAAGGATAAACAAAGAATTACAGGATCCTCAAACTGGAAAAATGAAAAAGTGCCCAACCTTTACAGGAGAGACATTATGTTATCACTACACAGCCAAAAATATTGAAAATTATGAAGAGCATTGACAAACTGCTGAGAAGACAATATAGAATCAATAAACATGGGCTTAGGATGTACAATTCCAGATAGTCCCAGCTAGCCAAGTTAGCTCTCAAATTCAACTACAGTAGTCAAAGCTTTTGTTAGTGCAATGTAGCAGCCTAACTATCAGTGTAATGTGTGAAATCCCTGCAAAATTTGATAGAATTGCAGGAGATTTCACACATAGTACACTTGCACACAACACTGACAGACACAGCCTAACTCATTCACAGAAAGTTTTTACAGTCATGGCAAGAAGTGCTGCATGACCAGCTACAGTTGCAGACAGCAGAAACTGACCCTGGATTTTGAGGGTGTCCAAATAGTCAAGCCAAAAATTTCAATTTATTTTTAAAACTCTCAGAATTTTGAGCTGTTTGTAGCCTCCAGGGTGTATATAGATACACTAGAATAGCAGACTAACGGTGGAAGTAGATGGCAAGGGTGTAAAAGTAGTATTAAACCATGAGTATGTATCACTTAAAACCATAACTATGGTTTAATCTGTGCTTGTCCAATAATATCAACACTGGGCCGCTGTGCTATGCTAAAAAGCCCACTAACATTAGCGTAGCGGCCCTAAAACAGCACACCAAACCTGTAGTGTTAGTGTGCTGTTAGTGCCACCATGCTGCTCTACAGTGCTTCTAGCGGCAAAAAAAGGCCCAAAAACCACTAAAACACACTGTAGTGCAGTGTAGTGGGCCCTTTTTCTGCCACCCTCACACATAGCATTAGCGCATTCATGGCAGAATTCTGTTGCACTATGCTAAACGTTAGCAGAATCCTGCTAGTTACGCTACACTAACCGCTACGGTTAGTGTGGCGGCCCACTGTTGATAATATGTATGTGGAAATGAAAGAAAATTGAACCACTCACTCAAAACCTTAGTGTTGGAATTTCATCTCTTTTTCTTCTCATCCCTAAAAAACTCATCTATCCCACTGTTAAATTAAATATGATTTGATAAATAATTTACATGATTTTTACTTTGTTTTTGACAGTTTCTGCGTGATATCTTGTTATGTTGTCTAGTGCTGAAATCCTTGTAGTATTTGAACCCTGGTCTAGTCTTTATCAACTTACATTTATTCCAGTCATCTTTTCAAGCATATGTTAATCTGTATTATTCATTTTGATATTCAAGACTATTTAACGCGTAGTCTGCTCTAAGTAAAAAACACATTGGCTCTCTCACTCCTTTTCCAACCCTTGAGCCACTCCAACAAGAACAAAATTTTTGTTGCCCAAAAATTCTCTGTGTCTTTCTGTTAAAATTTCTTCACTTAGTGTTTGAAATTTTGAATTCTACACATCTGTAGGAGTTCAAAATTATAATAAAATTAAGTGTCAGGACATATAAGGCCACACATGTCCATTTTAGATTTTGCACGTGGGGCATGGTTGGTCTATGCCGTCCGCAACTGTATGTCTAAGAGCATCTCCAATGCAGTAGGTAAATCAGGCTGCCAAACCCAAATTACCCAACCAACTCCCAAGAAACCTGACTATTGTGGTCACTATCTTGGGTGCTATACTGAATCAACAGCTCTTGAGTTGCTACATGTAGCAACTCCCTACAACCCAAAATAGAGATCTGGGTGTGTGAAGGCACCTTTAAATCTGTGAAACTTGCATCAAATTTTATGTCTATCTACAACTTCACATTTCAGAGTCTCATTGCACACAGAAGTAAGGTCATATTTGCACCTTGCAGTGGTGCACACAATGGTGAAACAGATACAATATAATAGTGTATCTGCTGATATTTTTGTATTGTACCTATTTTCTGATACTTGTATTGTGTATTGGATCTGACATTGGATACAATACATTTGTATTTTATTGAGAAACTACAACATATTTTTTGGCCATTTTATACTGCTTTCCAAAAAAAAAGAATGAAAAATACATCAAGATACAGTATTGAACTTTTTTGTATTGGGCTGTATCAATGGTGGGCCAGCTACTTCAACCGTAGCGCTATTGTGGTGTAGCACAGCAAGAAATACGCTAATTATTAGTGTAGTGTTAGCGCCAATCCACATTTCTGCACTAACGCTATGCGCAAAGGGCACAAGAGTTCGTTAACTGTTAGCATAGTGTTAGCAACAAAATTTGGAATTGTGCTAACACCACACGCTCAGGGCACAGAAAAGCACCCGCTAAGCTGTGTTGCAGCGCTTTTTAGCGGATTTTTGGCCTTTTTCTATGCTAAAAGCGCTCTAGCGTAGCATAACACAGCATAATTAATCATTCAGCAGTACATCATTAATTACACAGCTTCTCATCATTAATTACACAGCTGCTCATCATTAATTACAAATCAATTCTTCATTAATTCACAGCCACATACCATTAATTACTCATCCACTCATCATTATTTCACAACACCAAGATCTATAATCATACTGATGACATCAATGACCAAAATAGCAGTAGATTATTAACTTCAAAGCTGCATTTAATTAACTCCCCAGCGGCACATCATTAATTTCACAGCTGTAGATAATTTAATTCATAGCATGAAATCATTAAATTAGCAGTGTGTTTTCATTACCCAGTCAGATCAATCATTCTGATCAGTGTAGCTTTTTACCTTCCCACCAAAGATTTTGTCTATAAATAGAGGCCCTCCTGGCTCATGTTTTCCTTCCTTCTTCCCCATGTCTGCACCAGAAAAATAAGTAGAGATCTTATTTAGAATTCATCAACCCCCACACATGCTAGCTTCAGAAAAGTAATTAGATATATTATAGAGATCGTTCGTTCGGACCTGTTGGGGGGGGGGGTACCTGCCACACTTCAGATCAAGCCCTCCACATCAACAGCCACCATAAATACCTGTGGGGGGGGGCAGTACTAAACCTTCATCATTACTGAACCCTCTGGAAGCATCAGTGGTGTCTGAGGGTGTGGAGGGAGTGTTTTGAAGTGTGGCAGGTACCCCTCAACAGGTCCAAACAAATGATCTCTAATATATTACTTAGCTTTCATCAACCCTTATATTTCAGATACAGAATAGTAATACAAGAGATTACTAAATCCTTACTCCTCACCCTTACATTGAACCCTGATAAATAATAAAGATATTATTATTTAACACTCCTCAGAAACTAAACAGAAGATGTTGATGAATTAAAGACTCACTTTATAAGAACCCAGAATAAACCAGAGATCCAGATAATTTTTTCACAGACTAGGATAAACCAGAAACCCACAGAAATCTCATAACTGCAAGAGCTCTTGACCATCCATTCCATCCACATAAAACAACTCAACATCCTCAGCAGGTAGTATCTTCACTAAGCTAATTTTAGAAATCTACCACACTATGATTTTTCTTAGTGTAACTCTCTCACAAGCTAGACAAGGAGGGCAGTCTCACCCACACCCATTCAATAAGATAACTATTCCATAGGTTTATTTATTATTTATCCCCTTCAAGCTCTTTACTCTTAGCTGAGCAGTTCCACAGTGGTGTTGAAGTCTAGGCTCAAGCTCCTGAAACTCACTTAAACCTTAGCTTCTTTTTTCTCCCTCAATATCAAAATGATGATGTCATCTCGTTCAAGCCACTACAATGACATCATCACATCTAAAATTATCTGAACTCTCCACTCCTCCCTCTTCCTCATCACCACTCCTGATTCCTCTGAAGTCTTTGCACGATCCCTTTTCTTTCTACTTATTGTGTTGCTCTCTCACCTCAAATCACTTCTCCTTTCAGTCCTCAGGAAATAAAAACTCTTTCATATTCCTCACTCACAATCAAACACATTCAACTCTTCCCCTCTTCATATCGAGATTCTCATCATACTTTATCTTGTCTCAACATTCTTCTCCTAAACGTGAGTCTTCATATCTCGTGACATTCATCAGCATTGCTTCTTGCTACATCGCTCATCATCTTTATCCCTTCTTCTCAACAAACTCGCCGATCTTTACTTTCCTAAAAATTCCTTCCATCATTGCTTCTTGCTACATTGCTCATCATCTTTATCCCCTCTTCTTGACAAACTTGCTAATCCTTACTTTTCTAAAAGTTCCTTCCATGCAGGTCATCATCGTGGATCTTCTCTCATTTGTTGAACCAGTATTAATCAATCTCTCTTGTTAGAACTCTTTCCATTTCTCATTCTTATCATCTTATAACATATTGTTGTTCTTTCTTTTGTCATCTACTGCTTTAGGTGATTATATTTTATCTTTATCTTTCTATTTTATTTCAAAAGCTGGTATTAATGAAATACATTCTTTAGTCTATTGAATAACAAGTGGTGCACTAACACTACACAAAAAAGGGCCACTGTTAGCTCTGCTACGCTAACGCTAAGTGGCCCTGTAGAATAGTGTAGCATA